TCACAATTAACTTTCAACGGACTATAAAAATTCTTGGTAAAAGAAAATGTGTTCTGCACATTTGCCCAGTAGGTATATTTTGTTTAATAGGTAGATGACGTTCACGTCGATTTTCTTTGATCCTACACGCACTCCTAATGAATGCATTGAAGTGCGACTAATTTCATTTCTGATACCGTCAAGTGTATGAAAGGGAAAGCTCGATTGTACCCCAGTTCACGCTTCGATGACTTTCGCACAAAAAATTACTTATTGGCATTTCTAACATACAAAAATAGTCAATTTGTATCGCTATTTTAAAATAAAGTGCTTGAGCACACACGTTCATTAGGGTAGCACAACTAATTGTTCTGACCTGTGAAACAATTAGATGGATGAAGGGGTCGTAATTGACCAGGCAATGCGATTAAACTCTCAGTTTGCACAAATTTAGGACGGAATGTAATAAGAAACACGTTTTTTCTGTTTGTAACTCACTCTTTTAAATAAAGTCAATGTATCAAACTCACGTTTCAGATTGATGTCAGCAGCTACATAATATTAATGCACCTCAATAATACATTGAGTGTTCTTTCGTCAATAATGGCGAGGGTAACAAAATTGCTACAGGGGGAAACTAGGGCGATCCATCTCCCTTTGAGTTATAAGAGCGTAAGTTTAAGACAAAATTTTTAATTAAAGTCTCAATACTGTCGATTCTTTTAATTAATTTTCCTCACTAATCGGATCGCCTAAACAGCCCTTTATCCTGTTTATTAAAAACGTCGTCAAATATGCGTGGTCGCCCATTTATTTATTACGTCTTTTTCGGAATTTAACTAACACAACATTAATCAAATGTCAAAGACCCAGATTAGTATTTTGATTGACCTAAAATTTCAAGAGAGCTTGATCTTAATAAGAAACCTAATGAAGCTTCTTAATCGGTAATTACAATTGAGTGCACAGTAATCCTTTATATATTGAGTTTCCCGAGATAGCTTCTAAGGCATTATCGATTCAAACCTAATTTAATATTTTACAGTAAACTGACGATCCAATTAATAGAAAATGTTAACGTTAGGTAGACAAATCCACCCTCGAGCTTTTCATAGCTTTTAGGCAAAGTGTAGGAAACTGGATCGATAATTTAAAGGAAATTTGCAAGATGATGTTAAGTATAAATAACATAAAATTTTCGTTCGCTCTATTTGTTTAAACTTGCTTTTACCTATCACATGACTTTCATCTAAACTCTATTTCGTGCGAGCGAAAAAGTTTTTAGATTTAATCTTTTATCCATAATCTTTTACAAACGATATACGAATATGAATGAAAAGGAATGTGTTTACGCATACTATAGATGGGTCTAGGACACTTCGCCGAATGCCCACAACGCCGACACGATTTTTTGAAGGTCCATATCGCCGACTAGGGACACTACGCCGACGGACACTACGCCGACCGTGCCCACATCGTCGACAAGTGTGCAAGGGACACAACGCCGACCATGCCCACTTCGCCGACGGACACTACGCCGATCGTGCCCACATTGCCGAAACGTGTGCAAGGGACACTAAGCCGAACGTGACCACAACGCCGACTGTTCGAAAATCCAGGCCCCTCATACTCTGTCCAGTGTATGAGTTTGCATTTTAAAAAGTTTAAAAAACATGTCCTAAACCTACAAATAACCTAATATCCAAAGCTGCTTTGCTTCACACTCCGTCCAGTTTGATTAAGAATTTTCGTATGAGTCTGTAGTTCGAAAAAAGTTTAAAAAAATATTCTGAACCTACAATAACCTAACGTCAAAAGCTACTTGGTGTTGCACACCGTCCAGCTTGATTAAGAAGTGTTGTATGAGTCGACGTTATGGTCACGTTCGGCTTGTCCCTTGTTCACTTGTCGGCGATGTGGGCACGGTCGGCGTAGTGTCCGTCGCCGAAGTGGGCATGGTCGGCGTTGTGTCCCTTGCACACTTGTCGGCGATGTGGGCACGGTCGGCGTAGTGTCCGTCGGCGTAGTGTCCCTAGTCGGCGATATGGACCTTCAAAAAATCGTGTCGGCGTTGTGGGCATTCGGTGAAATGTCCCGGCCTCCTATAGATATTCATGGCTGAAGGTAGCAAGTGGTTTTTCGTGTAATTTTGTGATACAATCTTGCCCGTATCTTTGCCTACTTGCAAACGTGCCGGATAACAAGAATTGGCATCTTTCCAATACTAAAAAGTTGCACAGTAGCTGCTGCCTGGTATGGTAGGTCGTCACTTTCTGGACTGTACCTTCCTTTTTTACCAAAATTCGACTACACCAAAATTTCTCGGGAAAGCACTTTTTCTTATTAATTTGGGTGAGTAGAATCCAAATCAATTCGTACTTTTTCGATCAGACTTCTCAATCAAAAGTTATAGACTAGAAACCAATTTCGAAAAAAAATTCAAAGGGCTGTAACTTTTGAACTAGAAGCCCTATCTTGGAACTGTTTGAAATTATTGATTCAACAGGCCACATTCTATAAGAAAATTTTTTTTCCGGGTCGATCTGAGACAATTTTTTTTGGGGCCTCAAAAAAAGGCAGTGTATAACCTTCCTTTTTTACCAAAAATCGACTACACCAAAATTTCTCGGGAAAACACTTTTTCTTATTAATTTTGGTGCGTAGAATCCAAAACAATTCGTACTTTTTCGATCAGACTTCTCAATCAAAAGTTATAGACTAGAAACCAATTTCGAAAAAAAATTCAAAGGGCTGTAACTTTTGAACTAGTAGCCCAATCTTGGAACTGTTTTGAGATTATGGATTCTACAGGCCACATTCTATAAGAACATTTTTTTTCCGGGTCGATGTGAAACAATTTTCTCTTCTGGGCTCAAAAAAAGGCAGTGTATAACAACCTTCCTTTTTTACCAAAAATCGACTACACCAAAATTTCTCGGGAAAACACTTTTTCTTATTAATTTTGGTGCGTAGAATCCAAATCAATTCGTACTTTTTCGATCTGACTTCTCAATCAAAAGTTATAGACTAGAAACCAATTTCGAAAAAAAATTCAAAGGACTGTAACTTTTGAACTAGAAGCCATGTCTTGGAACTGTTTGAGATTATGGATTCTACAGGCCACATTCTATAAGAACAGTTTTTTTCCGGGTCGATCTGAGACAATTTTTTTTTCGGTGCTCCAAAAAAGGCAGTGTATAAAGTCTGGAGAATCTTCTTACTTCTTTTCTCCAAATTTAAGCAACGCAACTTTAATCACAGGTGAAAAAAGAAAGAAGAACAAATGAAGAAGTGTATGGATATTATAGAATTGCCGCATATACAGGGTGATCGAAAATGAAATTGGTATCGATTTTCTTAACAAATTTGTGGAAATTGAGCCATCAAGTTCCGTAATTCGATTCAAATCGCTGAAGAAACTAAACCCTTTGTAGATCACTTTCAAAGAATATTTTGTTCATGATCTTTTAACTCGAGTTTCGTCGTTGAACACGATACAAGTCATTGTAGCTTACATTTTAAGATTTTGCCACAACCTTGGACATCCATCAGATAAGTACATAGGTACCTTGTCCTCTAAGGAGTGTCATAATGCGTTATTGTTCATAAAGGCATTACTACTCCAAATGTTATCATTGCTTTCGCATTAATCCCATTCCTTATTGCCCCCCCTCCTCTGGAAATCTGCCCTCTCTTAAGAGTTAAATAAAGCCATTAAGTATGGTCGGTTGTGACTGCTGGTCCATTTAGCATTACTTGTGCGAAGATCCGCGAGGCAAAGCTTCTGAAAGCTTATTATGTTTATTCGTTTGTTTCGCTAGGAAGAGTGTCCATTTAGAAAACACTACTTCGTTATCTACTGAAGCATTTATGGGCGCGCTGATACCTTTTATTGCTCCTCGTGGTTGGCGTGTTCAAATCTTTAGTGATTGTGGGGCATAAATTTTGTCGGTGCCATGTGAGAATTTAACCGGTCAATGAAAACCTCAGTGGAATCTCAGAAAATGACGTGGTCGTTTAATCCCCCCTTCTGCTTCACATTTCGGTGGCCCGTGGGAGAGTGGAGGCAAGTCGGTTAAAAAACATTTCGTCCGTGTCGTTGGTGATCAAATTAGCAGCTAGTTTAAATTCAAGACCTCTTTGTCCTTTAGGCATTGACCATAATGACACCCCTGGTCATTTTTGTCTAGTCTAGTAGGTATTGCAGCAAAGGATGATTTTAGTTTTGCATTTAAATTATGAAAGTTCACGAGTAGTTTCTATTAGACATTAAAATTTTGTGCCTAGGCTCACAGAATAAAAAACAAAATTTGAATGCAGAGGACGCATTTTAATTGAAATTCGTATCGATTTTCTTCTAAAAGCAAAGATCATTTCTCGATCGCCATGCCAACAATCTATTTGTATACAATTTCCAGGGATTTAGCGTATAACGATCATTAATTTCAATATGATGAATAACTTTAACGGGAAAAAACACATTGATCATATAAATTTAAACATCGGAAGTAATATCGTTCAAAGAAAAATCAACGAGGGCTTATAATATACCCTTACGAGATTTTAATATTGGCCGAAATTAAAAAATCCTAAAATATGCTAAAACATAAGGGCGAAAATGGAATGCGCTTCTAGTCAAACTTGAATCAAGTATTTAATCTCTGAGCACCGTTAAAGCACGGAAATTCTGCAACTGAATATACGAAAGCTCGAAATACCGGACAGTTTTTTTTTACAATAAAGCAAAATAAGCTGCGGTGCTGTACGTTTGTTTATTTGAAAGGGGAATTATGTTGTAAGTCAGGAGAAGTTTGGAACATAAATTACAGTCTCTCTTTATATTGCCTTTGAAATGGGGATATTAAAAATCGTTTTGCATTTTGGCGTATGCAATTAGTTGAATTCATTAAAGTCCTTAATACCGAAGTTAAGGAAGCTAAATTAATTGGGAAGTCTATGGGAGATTTCGCATTTAATTAGGGGTGCGTGAAAGCGGTGGCTTTTTTCAAATTGTAACTTACCTTCTTACAATAATCTAATATATCCATTTTGTCTTTAATACACGTGGCTTTTGAAGATAAATCAGTCTGCCACCTTCCCTGCTCTGTCATGTATTGGGGGTGGTAAGCTTCTTGGCCGTGAACTCCGGTATCACACAGAAGCGCCACCTGAGGTTCGAAATGAGATACTGCACTACTTGCCGAGCCTCCATCTTGAAGGGCCTGTAACAAAAAAATAATCGTTCAGTTCCAAAATTGTGTGAAAAATCTAATTTTTTATATTTTTATAACAGAAAAGTCCACCCCCTATTGTACGTTAATTAGCTTAATTGAGGGGAAGTTGTTGCAAACTATAATGGCGCTCTTATCGTTATCTCTCTTTATTGGCGCTAAATATTTTATGCGTAGAACAAAAATGTTTCTTGTGGGTATTGTTATATGCGTAGATTAACTCGGAATTATTCTTGGGCTGAAACAGAAAATGGGGAAAGACGGCACTTTACGACTGATTTTATATACATATATTCATGATTGTCGTGCGACCACGGATAATACGAGGTACCGTAATACCCACAATAAAGTTCCGTATAGCTGTAGATAATTTTCCAATTAGGACTAACGACGCCATCAAAATTCCATTCGAGAAAACCAGCCCTATACATTTATCATCCATCTTTTTTTTCTCATTACAAATCGCGTGTATTGAAATAATAACACTTTCATAAGCCACCGGAGTCTTCAACGTCTAAAAAATAAAAACTTAATGGGCTCACTTATTATTTTCGCTCGATAAAGCTTTAGGTAAGCGACCAGAATGGCACTGATGCATTTTTGCACACTTGCAGTGCTAATCTGCGTTCAGAGTTAAAAGGAAAAACCTTGGCGTGAGGTCAAATCCACACAGAATCCCTCGTTAGTGGATATTTAATGGTGTTTATTTAAGGGAGCTGCACCGTAATTTATTCACTTTTAAATGCTAACCGAAGGCGAATGAAAATTTCAGTATAAACTAACACAGCACCATACAGTTGCTTGCTTAATTACACCTCTGTTACATAAATCGCTTTAGATGGAGATTTGTGCGTGTCTTCGATATCGATTTTTAATTTGCAACCGTCAGAGTGCTCATTTTTGTTGTATAAGTGACAGTACAAAGCACTGGAAATCATTTTCTTTGATTAATATGAACATAATGATGAATAAAAGATTAGTAATGTAATAAACCATGAAATATAAATCAGTACATTTAGACGGTATAATTGGGTGGTGTTTTATTTAACGAGCAGAAAAGTTCAAATTGGTTCCGACAGCTTAATTACAATATTTTACCAAAAATCTAGTCCTTACGAGGTTCGGCGGTGTGTATCAAAAATTATATTTGATTTTGATCAATTAGTTAGTTACCTTTGTGTATTTTTCATCTCCAAGAATTCTGCTAACCATAACTTTCGAATTTCCAAATCAAAGTAATTAGGTACGACCGAATCCAATAAAAGGATTAGGACAGGGATATCCACTTAGTCCAACCTTATTTATCATTTACTTAAGAAATATTGAGCAAATATTGCGACAGGGTAGAGGAATCGATTATGATTATACCAAAAACTGCAGGCATTTAAACTGGAAAAATACTATTGACTATTCAATTCATCTAACATTTGTCACATTTCAACCAGTGAAATGTCTCGATTTCAAATTGCTGCGCCAATGGGAACGAATTATAGTGATAATTGCACGTGTGGTATTTCAGCGATAATTTCACGTGTGGTATTTCAGCGACAATTCAATGCGATTATTCAATGACATTTGTCAAACTTCCACCAGTGAAATGTCGCGAAATTTTGTCGTATTAACCGGAACATTCTTCTTAGTTTGTTAATCAATTTCGACAACCGACTTATCACCACATCTTTTAATTTAATCACTCATAACGAATTAGCTTGGAGCACAAAAGTTCGAATAGAATCAATAGCAAATGAAAAGCAACTTCCATAATTTATTTTGACGTTTATTGTTGTCATGGAGATAATTCGCGTGGGTAATTATGCTTAATTTTTCTTTTGATTCATTGAATAGTCCTCCGAATACCATTCGTAGTCGAAGTATTTGTAGATTATTTTTGAGCTGCTGCTCCACTCATGCTAGTTACGCTTTTTAATACCACTCGCGCAAGCGCTCGTGGTATTAATCAGCGTAACTAGCATTCGTGACAGCACCTCAAAAATATTCGACAATACTTCGACTACTTATGGTATTATATATGAATATTCTTACGTTACTATTAACTACAATTTTATTATAAACAACATCATAAGTATGTATTCAATGCGAGAATGTATTTCGCATTTGCATTAAGGCCTTTTATAAGCAATATGTGTACAATAAGAAAACCTACGCCAGTGACTAATTAAAAATCATGTCATAAAGGTAATATGTATAATTGAAGTTTTAATTGCATAGTAAACAAGTTTGAACTAAAACAGGAATTTTTTTCTCATTCCCTTTATATTTGTGTGAGAAAATATTGCTTGCTTTAAACAGCAACAATAAGTACAAAAATTAGGCGAAGGCAATAAATTAGCGAACACAATGGTGTGTTAGTGCTATAAATAAATCAAGCTGAAAAATTTAGGGATTTCTTCAAAATTTAACGCGCCCGAATTTATGAACCACCTAATATTCTTCAGCTTTACAAAACTCCTTCGCGAAAAATATTTATCTCCTTTGTTGCTCGTTCGCGCGAAGCTTTTTTCTAAACAAGTGCTATATTAACTCAACATTCAAATGCGAGAATCTAGGATTATAAGAATCGATAGTGCTCGAAAAAGTTTCGGACGGAAAATGCTTCTCTGGCATTATAAATTTACGCTGATACAATAAATGTATCATTCTAATCTCCGTACCATTTCTGGGCTTTATTTTTAAATCGATTTTGGTGAATTTGCAATGGCTGACCTATCTTTTGTTATGGGAGCAAACAACGTTCCAATTTTTCTAGTGCGAGACTTGTCAAATGGAATTTGTGACGGTAACTTTAATTCAACAAATTCATACGAAAAAGTGGGTCGAATTTCAGCATTTAAATGGAGTTGAACACATGCACGCCCTCCCCACTGAAGTTAAATTACACCCGAGTTAATTAAAGTCCCTAGTCGATGTTTATACAAGCACCACTCACAGTGACGCAGATTTACAGTCAAAAGTTTTATTAACAAATCTATTACGTTCTTTGTTATTGCAAATGTCACTCAGTACAAATTGAATTTTTGGGTCGCATCGCAAAATTAGCTTGACAAGGGAAAAGGATTTAATAAAATGGTTTACCCCGAAGACTTATTTCTATTCGTGTCCTGGTGGTTCTCAATCGATGTCGGTGAGAAAATGGAAAAGTACGATATCGTGATTTTTCTTTCGGTTTCTTTTACCACAATGAAGAATTGTGCTGTACACGCTGATGTGCCAATTGCTCTCGTCTTGCATACCTCATTTGTAAAAATACTGTTAAATGAACAATTTATAAATTTACATGCTCGTTATTTCGTTGAACCCTAGATAGACGCTTTTCTCCTTGAAATGATAATTTAAGGCTATATGGTTGCTGCAGTTACAAATAAAAAACTGGTTACGTTATTATTATTCAATTTTCTTCTGCAAGCGAGTCACGACAAAATATGTTTATAAGAATAGGATAGGAGTTTTTTATTATAATTAAAACCGGCATCCACTGCTTGCGCAGATAAATTACACAAAATCGTTTCAATTTTCCTGGGAGAATATGAATTTTTTAAATGTAAATGCAGTACATAAGCAGTCAGTTTCTGTAATGGCTTCGATTTCATTCGTAAGCCCCTATATTTACTAACAAACTATTTAAATAAATTTTACAGCGATATAATACGCTGCTTGGAAAGGGACGGTCTCGCAGGAATTGTACCTAATGCTGTACATGGGAAATTACCACGGGACAAAACGCAAACTCAAAGACCGTTGTCATAACGTGCGCGTTTAAATTTCCTCCACCCATTATATAGGGTAACTATAAATGATTCATCGGGTTTTAAAATATTGCATTTGATACATAAGAACACCCCTGATCCAACGATGTGGAAGTTCATCATTTAGGTAGACAAGAACTACATGATTCCAATGATGGAAACTTGGAGTGTTTCTAGTATAGGATATTGATAAGTAGCATAATTTTTGTATTTTTATATAACGTAAAATGAAAAATTCGAATAGGAGTATTAGCGCTAGTAACTCTACCAATTTGAAAACAAATTCTGCCACTGCCATGCATCGAAAAAGATTTTAAAAAACCTGAAACATTTGAGGCATCTCTAGTTCGCGAAAAAATCGCAATAAGACTTGTTCGTTTTGTTGTGGTTCATTGGTTTACTCATGCTTTTAGATTTCCAATGGTGTGTTAATATTTGAAATTATGTAGGTGTAGGTAGTGGGGGGAGCGAGCCGTAGAACTACTTAAACGTTCTGATCGTTTCCCCATCTATAACGAGACGGTTTTGTGAATTTTTTGATATCCCTAAGAAGAGGGCATTTTGGTGTATTGGTGGCGAACAGAGTTAAAATTTGCTTCACTTTACGATCATTATTGTTTAGAATAAGTTTTGTCTAAGTTGATTCATGTAAATTGTGCATCTATTCGAACCCTTTTCACGATTCAGATATAAATGCGAGGATAAATGCCTCATGCTTAATTATGATAAACTTTGTTGTTCCCTACCCAAGGTTTATTTCAGGTGTCTTCAAAATTTGTTTAAGTAATCTTTAACTGTTAACTTAGTAAGAAACATGCAAAATCTAACAACCATAAAAGATAAACCATCCATAACCCTAATAAAACTTTGCCTTGTATTTGTCAACATTTACCTTGTTCCTAATAAACAGAGAGACTTGATTTACACCCAATTTCATAATCTAAGCCTACCCCAAATTAGTTATCAATAACCATCTGATATGATCGTTTCTTTGGATATTAATCTAAATTGTGTCTAATTAAAGTTCGATTTGGATTAGAAACTGCAAAGAAAAAGTTTTATATAACAGACAAAAGTTACCCCATTAGGGGAACGGGGCGGATTGATTTTAATAATCGATACCGAGAGCACGGAATTGTAATTCGTTTTAATCTAAATTGTGTACTTCAATAAGTTACAAATGGTTCGTTTAGTGGTCAATAAAAGTAGTTATTGCTAACTTCACAAGTATAATGCGACTGCAAA